TCCCAGTCAGGGCACATACCCAGGTTGCAGGTTTGATCCCTGGTTGGGGCATGTCCGGAAGGCAACAGATCCATGTTTCTCTCTCACATCAATGTATCAATGTTTCTCTCTCCTCTCTCTCTCTTCCTCTGCCTCTAAAAAAAAAAAAGATCATCTATAGGTTTATTTCTACAAAAGAGTGGGGTTAAGCAAAATGCAGGGACTCCTGGTAGCAAATAAATTCTTGAAGACTCTCAAACATAGTCACACACATTTATTCATGGTCAAATCTTTTGTTAGCTCTTTTACGCAAGGCCTTTTTATTTGGCCTCTGCTGGACGTCCAGCCTTGCCCTGACTGTCGCCTCTGGCTGTCTATGCTGGTTATTAACTCTGCTCTGAAGAGCTACCTTGAACCACAGAACCTGAGCTCTGAATCCGGTGTCCTTTTCTCGAACAAAGCACTGTCACTTCCCCTGCTGCCACTGGACGGACGGTGCACTGACTGAAGAAAAGGAGCACATCCCATATATCCCTGTATTCCTGCATTTCACTCAGGAATAACTGCAGCTCAATAACTGCTTGTTGATCTGTTGAACAAAACTGAACATAAAAGAGACCATTAAGGAATATCGTTTGGGTTGCAACCAGGGAAGGTTCTGAGCTTGACCTGCTGGCCTGGGCCAGTTTCACAGAAGGCCAGTTTCACTCGCTATAGTTAGGACAATTGCCAAAGGGTTATAATTGTTCTAGGGTCTGCAGATAAAGCTTTGTCTTCTAACATGCCCTGATCTGAACCTGCATAAAAGACCCAAGTCCTTCCTAATCTGAAGAGAACACTGGGTTGAAGAGGACACAGGGCTTCTCAGAAGTGAAAAGTACCTTTTAGGATCATAGATTCAAAGAAAATACCTAGCCCATAATAAGTCAGAGCCTTTGCCCAACTGTTTTCCTAATAAGCACATTCTCTCCTCTCTCATGCTTGCCACTGATATATATGAAGCATTTGGAGAGTAACTACTATTGTGTGAGCTCTCCATTTCCTTGCAAATACGTGGATATGTGACTTTCATACTAATGACTCCCACATGCTACAATAGAAACCCATCACCTTGAAATAGAGCATTTTTATCAGTGAAGCCCCTTTATGCTGCTGAAAATGTTTTTGTATGCTTTGATGTGGGAAATGGGAGTCATTAGTAAGACAGGCATGAACTGAACAGATAAAACCAAACTTCATGCTTGTATCTTTACGCCACCTGCAGACCTCCATACATACGGTTATATAAATGAATGGATGCCTCTGTCAGGCCCTGAGAGACACTCGGTTACTAACAAGAGGGAGGCAGAAGCTCTAAAAACAGATCAGATGTTTGTTCTCTCTGTTTTCATCTTTGCATTTGGCTTTCAAAGGCATCTTAATAGGTGGGGAGAGTTCCAAGTATTTGTGTATCCGAGTTGTCCTGTTCTAGCTTCCACGGAAGCGCAGAAGAGGTGAGAAAGGAGGGGAGCGAGAGAAGGCAACCGATGTGAGCCAAGCTCCCCAAGCTTCACAGGGTCAATGTGCTTTTGAGATCAGGCGTGTCTTGAACCGCGGTATGAACGAAGTGTGTTAGCTTGCAGGCATTAAACATCTTAGAAAATGCTACATTATCCAGCAGGAAATTTTGCCAACTGCCGCTAGTAACATCTGTATCTGACTGTCAAAGAGAGGAAATCGTTTTGCCTCTATCATGTTGCTCCTAAATCTTGATCGAACACAAGAAAAGGCAGCCGAGGGATGCTTCGAGAGTGCCGTGTGAAAATGAAGTGTAAACAAAGTACTCATTAAATAATGAAGCACATTTCAGGTGGGTTGCAAGAGTCACTTAGCGGGGCCCAAGACTCCCAAAGAAAACAAAGAAGAGCCACTTAGGATGCCCTGCAATGTGTCTTGAGTCTACAGGTTTACCTTGGTTTCTTTTGTTTAACATTCCATAAAAGGCAGAACAGATCATCTTTAGAAATGCTTCTACTATACTTTCAAAAATGGCTGCTCTCATTTTGGGGAGTTTTGAAATGGTCACAATAATCATGTTTTTAAATTTTTGTTTTAAGATAATTATAGATTCACATGCAGTTTAAGAGCTAATTCAGAAAGATCCCATAGAGCNTTTTAAGATAATTATAGATTCACGTGCAGTTTAAGAGCTAATTCAGAAAGATCCCATAGAGCCTTTACTTAGTTTCCCCCACTGGTAACATCTTGCAAAGCTATAGAACAATATCACAACCAGTATATTGATACTGATCCAGTGAAGACACAGAATATTTTCATCAACACTTTTCTCTTTGCATAACACACACACACACACACACACACACATCTTTGGTAATATGGTCAGGCTCATTTGAAAATACCCAGAATATTTGCACATTGCCTTTCTTGCACAGGAGGCCTTTCATTTGCATTTTATGGACAGGACTTGAAGAAAAGTCATCTTGTTTATACTTTGGCTTAAACTCAGAAGTCTGAGGGATATGATTTTATGTGAATTTATCTGCACATGGTCGCTGGTTAGCCTGAAGGAGATCAATAAAAACCCGCAGGGCCTTCGAGCTGGCAGACTCGAAGCCAGGGCCAATCTGGAGAAAACTGACAGGATCTCAGGCCTGTATTTTGTCTTTCAACCTCCTCTGACACAAATAGAAGAAATCCTGATGTCTTTGGTGACTGAGGTTCCATAGACTAAAGCTAAAGCTCTCTAGATATTTTTAAAAGGTTAATATCTTCTTTGAGATTTTTGCCTGTTGCCTCTAGAGTATTACTTACAGAGTTTTCTTCCATTTTACTAACCTAGAAGTGTGCAATACAACAGACTCTCAGCAGAAATAAAAATCTTATTGGTCCTATTAAAAAAGACAGTAAAGCACTGGTTTTATAGACAAACCCTTTCCTCCCGTCCTTCTACAGCCCCTCAGAAGCCATGATGTTTAGTGTGTGCGAGAATGAATTATACTTCTGAATAGCAAGTTCCAAAGGACCGAAAAGAGTAAGGCTAGTGCTTAGAACTTACTGCAAAGGAAAAACTTAGAGGAATGGCCTTTTCTTTTTTATGTTTTAAGGAAGCAAAGAATTTTTCGATCCCGAACTGTTCGTAAACGAGAAAAGACTACCTTATTAAGAACTTTTACATTTCTCAATTCAGATTTGGAATAGTGAAAGATTATGACAAATGTACAAATTAGTATAAATGGTCTTTCTACCCTTACTTGGTGGTTTCATTAAGTTTTTTAAAATAGGATAAACAAAACAGAAAACAAATGCCCCGCAAAACAAAGATCTTTTATGGAAATTGTCTAGTGTAGCCTTCAAAATATTTGATTTCTTTGTACTCTGTAAAATGTTTAGATAGAGGCAAAATTACTTTTAAAGTTTTTCAAATGTCAACCTTTAAGTACAGTTCCATGTAATTATTGGAAACTAGGTCTTGGTGTGAAAGATGTCAAGAGATCCTATAGACCCAGAGGGTTTTTGAAAAGAAGTTAATAACCCTTTTTCCATGTTACTAAAGATGACCCAGGCAAGGCATTTCAGGCACCTGCAGGAACCAGCTAACTGCCTGAACTCTTAGCCCAGGCAGCCAAGCCCCTTATGCTTTTATTTTGCTAACATTTTACAGAGGTATTTGTTGCAATGAAATAGATTGCCAGCACACTAAGCAATTCAAATTGCATTGGATGTTCCTTCTTTTTTTAAAAAAATGTTTTTATTGATTTCAAAGAGAGAAGGAGAGAGGGAGAGAGAGATAGAAACATCAATGATGAGAGTCATTGATCGGCTGCCTCCTGCACGCTCCCGACTGGGGATCGAACTGTAACCTCCTGGTTCATAGGTTGACTCTTAGCCACTGAGACAGGAGGGCTGGGCTGTTCCTTCTTTTTTAATTCCATTAACCAAGATAAATGCAATGCAATCTGGGGAAGCCCTTCATCAGGACCTCAGAACTTGGTGCTGTGGGACAAGCTCACACTTTATGATCAAGGTCCCTTATTCTGTGAACCTAATTAGCACTGAGAACAGCTCCTCAGCTTCTAGAACAACAGCTTGTGCCCTGACCTGGATTCCAAAATTGGAACCACTTAAAAAATACTGTTGCCTTGGCCAGTGTGGCTGAGTAGGTTGAGCACCAACCCATGCACCAAAGGTGCCCCATCGGATTCCTGGGCAGGGCACATGCCAGGGTTTCGAGCGCAATCCCCTGTAGGGGGCATGCAGGAGGCAGCCAATCTATGTTGCGCTCTCTCGTTTCTCTCTCTCCCTCTCCCTCTTTATCTAAAAAATAAATAAATAAAAATCAATAAAAACACATTTTAAAAACCACTTATTTCCTGATACTTACAAAATATGTTGATCTGCAGAAAAAGATGACTTCCATTAGGAGAATTAACTAGCCCATCAACCAACAGGTACCTTTTCCCTGGCACCTATTGTGTGGTCCCAGGATGAAGTAAGGGCCTAATTCTGTCATCTATGAAAAAGGTGCTGGTACCCTGGGTGTTGGTGGATTCCATAGATCCTTTGAAATTCTTTTCCAACCCCTTTCTATAGAGCCCTCACTCACCCAGAAAGTACAGCCATCGTCCTGGTAATCCGTGGGGAAGGTGGGAGCACAGCAGAGAATGAGGGTGAGAAGGGAGTTCCCCTGCTTAGGGCTCCTGGGAGCTAATGCCACAGAGAACTCGGACTCCCTCCTGCCCAGGCTGCACATGCTCCCGCCACAGGGATGGTCACGTAATTGTGACTTGGAAAAGACAGGCTTGGCACCCATGCACGATCTTTAAATTGTAGAGTCAAAGGGGCTGGGGGCATGGGGACCAGAAGAAAACTCAACAGATAGGAAGGGTGTGTTTTCTGTTTTTCCTGCCATTAGCTAGAGCTTCAGGCAGAAGACAAGGCTGTTCTCAGGATTTCGGCCCTGCTGGCCCCGGCTATCCTGGAATGAGTGCTAACTGGCATGTGTTTCTCTCTTTCCATCCCAGGACAGCTTTCCTGCCCGCTTTGGAGGAGTCCATTTCGTCAACCAGCCCTGGTACATCCATGCCCTGTACACGCTCATCAAGCCATTCCTTAAAGACAAGACCAGGAAGCGGGTAAGGAAAAGAAATGCCCAATGCCTGGAATGTGGGGGGGCGGGGAGGGGAGGGGAGCTGTACAAGCACAGCGCCACTCCTCTCAATCTCTCTCTCCTCCCCCCACTCCTTATTTTTCTCTGTGGTTTTTCTGCGTTTCTGCAGTCCCTGAGCATTTGAGCCTCAGCTGGAGTTTGCAAATGGCCTGTATTCAATCAATAATTTAGTAGAGCTGGGTTATTTTCAGAGTCCCAGTGACAAACCAAAGGGAACTCTGAAGGCATGCAAATACCAGATGCCCATTTTACTGCAAATGCTTGTGGGAGGTGTGGGGTCAAGCAGCTTCCTATTCATGGAATATTTTAATAGCCAGCATTTTGTCCTGCAAATGTAATATCTCGACGAAGAACGTTTATGGTTTGGTTTCTCCCCCCAAGATTCTTGAGTCATAGCTGCCACATCTATCACCTTTGTGGTTGGGGAAACATTCTTCATTGGAAATAATAACAAAGAAGGCTTTTAAAATCTTGATTGCATCAGCTAATGACATTTAGGGAGCTGGCCTTCTTTATGGCATTCTGATTAGCTGAGAAACTGAACATTCGTTAACCACTCGGCATCTCAGTTTCCATGTCCATAAAATGGGGACACTGACACCCAAGTCACAGAGCTGCTGGGGTCATTTAATGAGTCAGCATATGAAAGCAGGTAGCAGAATGCCACACTTGCAGTAGAAACTCAGTGACTTATTTCTCTTTACCATTTGGCTCCCTTTTCTTTCAAGCTTTTTGATTTCGGCTACCTCTTGGGTCAGGGAATCTGGCCGGGTCATTCTATAGTGTTTTAAGTGTGCCCCTACACCCAGGGACCCCAGGAAGAGCTCTGAGTATTGTGGAGAGAATGGTGTTGTGAGGGACACATACACACTCTCCCCTCCTCTTCCTCTCCACCCCCTAGGGTTCCCAACTCCTAGACCTCAGATGCTTCCAGATCCTTAGGAAACATTGCAATAGGGTACAGGAGGGGTCATGCCTCTGTCCCTAAACAAATGTGAAACTGGGAATTAGAACTAACTCACCAGTCTCAGGAGGCAGAGACATCCTGGGACATTTTGCAATCTGCCTGGGGCTCAGGACAGTGCTAAGGACAGAAACCTGCCCTAGATTGTTCCCAAAATAGCTCCAGGCTTCCCACTGGCTTCATCTTCTACGCAGGTAGGAGCCAGCAAGAATTCCTCCATCAAGCAATCAACACTGGTGCTCTGCCTTAGAAGGGAGTTTCTGGAGCTCTGGGTGCAGAACGCAAAGGGGCAGGTGGAACATCTAGTCTCCGACCTGCTGAGTTTCTGCGTCCCACAGGCCCAAGGAGAGGGCCGGCTTCCACGCCATTCCTTGCCCTTTAAATACCAGAGGTGTTGGGTGGGAGCAAACAAATGTTTGCTCTTAACGCTGGGCTGTTGTTTAGCTCCACCTTTTCTATGCTTTAAATACTGCAGTTCCTCCTGTGAGGTGTTTTTGCAAAAGCCAGAACTGGTGAATTTCTTCAAAAGAAGTAATTCTTATTAAAATTTGGTCATACCCAATCCAGTGTCAGAAAAGGTCCGCATTTTCTGTGGAGCTGCAGTATTCTTCTGAAGAATTTTAGCACTTTCCTTGTTGTCCCCTTCCTCTTTGAATGATGACATCACATCTTAAGTTAAAACTAATATAACAGAACAAGGTAGCAAGTATTTATAATAGACTAATATGGCATGCTGTAATATACTACACTGCTACATAGCACAATACAATCCTTACATGGTATGCTATGATACTATATTTGTATATTTTAAAAATCACGTGTGCCTTTCCTAATGATTAACTGGGGTGTGTGTGCGTACATGTGTGATAGTTCTGTACTTAAGTGTACTGAGCCTGCCACATGAACAAGTGTGGAAGCTGAGGCCATTACACAGATGTACTTTAAATACTCTTCCAGGAGTCAATTCCTAAATTGCAGGCAGGTGGTAATTATCAACCTGAGGCTACCCACTTTGTGCATTTGTCTGAAAATAATTGTAACTTGGGGGTGTTTTCTCCCCGGCTTGACCAATTTCCATCACCATCCATTATACATTTAAAAGATGCAAATCTATTTGGCTATTAGCTCTCAATCCAGACATGAATGGAAAATGGCTGCAATAATATTCCACAGTAAATCCCCAGGCTACAGTGTTCAGTTCTCAATTTCATTGACTAAGAATTGACTGAGATTTTACCTTGTGCCCACACCACCCTGGGAGCTAGGAGCACATTAGAAGGGAAAGAAATTGCCATCCCTTTTTCTGTGTTTCTTTTTCTTCCTGTTGTCCAGAAGACATAAATGAACACATGGGAAAAAATAGAAGTTAGAAGATAACAAAGAGTTAATTGGGGGAAGGGAGCTGGAAAAGCAGAGTGGGCAAGTGTCACTGCGACAAATTTAGGAGGAATCTGCCACTTGGTGTAGGCCTGGGAATAACGAGGAGTATTGAAGGGGTGCGGAGGGCAGAGAATGCACCAGGAGAGAGAAGAGAGCAATGTGGAGGTGCCTATGAAGCATGGGGTTGGGGTGCATGTCTGGGGTTGGGGTGGTCTGCACCACTATCTTTTCATCAGCAGGGATAAATTGGGAGATCACTGTATCTGTAAATTTGGGTCATGGCCAAATAATACCCAATTTGTCCATAAACTTCTTTTTTTTGTTGTTAACCCTCACCTGAGGATATTTTTCCCCCCTTGCTTTGCAGAGAGGGTGAAAGGGAGGAAGGGAGTGGGGGGAGAGAGAGAGAGAGAGAGAGAAAGAGAGGGAGAGAGAGAGAGGTGAGAGACACATTGGTTGGTTTCTTCCTGCACATACCCCAACCAGGGTGAAGGGAACCTGCCCTTGACTGGAATTAAACCCAAGACCCTTCGGTCTGAGGGCCAACATGCTAACCACTTAGCCAAACCTGCTAGGGCTCATAAGCTTCATTTTTAAGGACAATTAATGCAGCCCCTTTCCTGAGCAATAAATTAACATTTCACAAAGATGAAGCTCTAGACACAAAACTGAATGCCTACTTAAGCCCCATGATCAACAGCAGCGCATCCAATTTGTCATTGCTCAATTGTGTATTAGATTAAATGCTCGGTTATGTTTTGGATTTTTTAATCATTAATTATTGTTTTCTTTCCAGATTTTCCTGCATGGGAACAACTTAAACAGCCTTCACCAGCTAATACACCCTGAATTTTTGCCCTCTGAATTTGGAGGAACACTTCCTCCTTATGACATGGGAACTTGGGCTCGGACATTACTTGGTCCCGACTACAGCGACGAAAATGACTATACTCACACTTCCTACAATGCGATGCATGTGAAACACACGTCCTCCAACCTGGAGAGGGAGTGCTCACCCAAGCCCATGAAAAGGTAAGGCCTGGCCTATCAGAGCCTCCAGTCAGAGGTCAACAGGTATTTTCGATTTAGGTCTATTCTGGGTTAAGTAATTGAAGACCTTTATGGGCACAGAACTTAAAAAAATAAATTGTAATACATGCTCAGCTGATTTCATCAGAATTGGAAGCAAATGGGACTTGGCTGGCCCAGAAATATAGTTGTCTGTTGTATTAAAGAAACTGTTAAAGGCTAGGACCTCACTCATATCATGATTACAGTCTTAGGTGCTAGGAAGTCTGTGTGTATTACACAGACTGAAATGCTGGACCTTTGGGACAGTGTGGGTGGAAAAGCAGCCTGCTAGAAAACGTCCCAGTCACCCATGCATTTGGAAATATTTATTGAGCATTTACTTGGCTGTAGGCACTAATCAGGCACTGGAAGTGCAAATGTGAGTAAGACATCTAAAGAACAGAGAAGTGAACCTGGGGAAAACCTGCCAAGTAAGACTTCCAGCAACCTATTTATAAAGTGGTAACATTCCAGCTGAGCTCTGAAGGATGAAAATCAGCAGCCCAGACTTAAGAAAGGGGGAAAAGACATGCCAAGCAGAGGGGACACCCAGAAGCATGGAGGCATTAGAGGGATGGGACATTCTAGTGTGGCACATAGGTATGCAGAGATTGGGCAAATGAGGGCCAGAACTAAAGCTGGAGCAGTGGAAGACTGGACTTCTGGAGAAGTTTGGGGAAGGAAGGGTGTCACTAGTGGAGTCTCCTGTGGAACTGGGCTTATGTTGATGTCCTGAACCAAGACAGTGTTTTCAGGAGGAGGATCTCTGCATTTCCTGCTCCGTTGGGAATATTACACTCCACTCGAGTGTCTGGAAAGCCTCTCTGCTAGGACTGGAGGCATCTGGAAATTCATTTATTGGCTTAGAGGTTGGCTTTGTAACTCTGCAGTGAAGGGAGTGACATTACTCTTATGAGTGAAATTGTCTGGCCCGGGTCAGTCCAGGGCCAGCTCAATAAAGACAATCATAACAACTCAACTCATACTACTGACACTGACCCCTTTACCTGCATTACTCTAAATCTTCACCACAACTATATGAGAAAGGCATTATCATTATTCCCATTTTATGAATGAGGAAACAGACACAGAGAGCTTAAGTAACTACCCAAGGTTCACATAGCTGGCAAACAACGAAGATGGGATTCCGACCAAGGCAGGCCTGCTCCACGCTCATGTTCGTGTCCTCTATAAGATCTGGCACACTACCTGTTTTCCCTCATACAGCCTGTCCTCACCTCTAATGCCAACCCTCTCCCCTGTCCCTCATGGACAGGGACAATGACACCTCACATATCCTGTCCCTGCCCCACCTCTAGCGTCTTCTGAAGAAGGCCATCATACCCTTACATATGTCTGAGCTTCCAAAGTCAAGTGATATAAAATAGGAATTTGCCACTCTTTCTTCAGATGATCAGTTACAGAGTTACATCTCTTTTTGGTGACCAGGCATATCCTGATCCCAAGTTTCACCCCTGAGTTGATGTTGAGGGTCAGAGGAGCTTCCATTATTATGGGGAGTTCTAGAGGGTAAAATCTTTGTCTAACTGTTAAAAAAAAATTTCTAATTGAGGGTATGTTTTTATTGATTTGCGAGAGAGAGGAAGGGAGAGAGAGAGAGAGGAAGAAACATCAATGTGAGAGAGAAACAGTGATTGGTTGCCTCCCATATGCAACCCAACTGAGGATCAAATCTGTAACATTTTGGTATACAGCACCATGCTCCGACCAACCGAGCCACCCAGCCAGGGCTGTCTAACTCTTATACACCTTACCTCTCCCCAAGAATCCAACTCAATGCCCATCACACAGCAGACACTATGCATGCTTGCTATGTATGAATTAATGTTTAATGAAAGATACTACCTCCAAAACCTATCTTTGGTGCACTTGTCCAATTGCTTCAACCAAATTGTCAGCTCCCAGATGGAAAAAGTTGATTTCCCCTGACTTTCCCAAGGCTCTCATGGATCTTGCCTTATAAGATCCTAGTAGAGGCCTGGCCAGTGTTGCTCAGTGGTTAGAACATCGGCCTGGACACTGAAGGGTTGCAGTTTTGATTCCTGGTCAAGGGCACATGCCTGGGTTGAAGGTTTGATCCCCAGCCCTGGCCGGGACTCATGCGGGAGGCAACCAAACGATGTATCTCTCTCACATCGATGTTCCTCTCTTTCTCTCTCTCTCCCTCCCTCCTTCCCTTCCACTCTCTTTAAAAAAGCCAATGGAAAAAATAGCCTTGGGTGAGAATAACAACAGCAGCAAAAAAATCCCAGTAGAAGAGATAAGACATGCCCACAAATAACTATAGGATGCTGGGGAATGGGAGAGGTACTATAGAGGAGGTGTAAGTGCCTTCTCAGTGTTCACTAATTTCAACCAGGAAGATTCTTGGAGAAGTCCTTGTGGAGGAAGGCATAGCTGACTTGGGTTTTGGAGGCATAGGGGCATCTGGACATTGCATACACATTTCATAATCCTACCAAGGCCACCAAGGTGTCCTGCCCACTCCTGCCTTTGCTGCAACATCCTTGAGCCTTTGCATGGGTAATTCAGGCAGCAGCAGGATGGGCAGTGAGGAGACTGGTGCCAGCAGTGACAAGGAGGGACAATGCCTGCTGTTGGACTGTGCCTGCCATCAGGTGCCTCGCTGACAGAATCTGTAGTGACTGAGAAAATTACAAGGACAGAACAACCACAATTCAAAGCATCTTTTGACCCCTTGGAATCTATAGGGACACGGGAAAATTGAAAACAGAATTGGAGGAGACCTTAAAGGTCATCTCTTCCCGTTTCCCACCTGCTGTGGTTGTCCGTCCTGTGGCACAGGCTGTCGGCAGCCTCAGTGTGCGTCACCCACAGACAGCAGGCGGCTTATGGGGCAGCACGCCCCCTGTCGCCTGACTCTAGGAAGTGCCTCCTGGTTCTGAGCCCGACAGCCCGACGCCTGGGTCTGTCCTTTGGAACAGAGTTTCTATTCCCGTGAGTGGACGTCAGCTATAGTCCTAACCATAGTCCCTAATGGTCTTTAGGTCTAGTTCTTCCTCCAGTTTTCCAAGTAAACAACCATGTCTCAGCACTGAAAGTAAAGAGGCCTCAATTTTCAGATCCACCCTAGTCCACCCTATGTGGTCAGTGATTGGAAGGCCAGTGCTTTGGGGTCTTGTCCAGCTATACCAAAGTAGGATTTCCTTTGGTCCTTTCGACCAAATGCTTCCATCCTTCTATTGTCTGGGTACTCCTTCTGGGTCCCACATATAAGAAGTGAGGAGGTGTCATAAAGACATTGTGAGTCATCTGATTTGGGGGGATTGGGGATGGGGGGAGAAGATACGGAAAAGCCTGGTTTAAGTTCAGATTTCTGAGCCAGAAAGAAATTTTAGGCCACGTTGCTCCCTCTTGATCCCTGCCCGGGTGGTAAAAGTCAGTTTAACTGTTTTCAGCTGCCAGTAGAATTGGCCATGACCTTGGTGATCTTTCTGCATGTAGCCCTCTTTCCACCGGGCGAATGTATGCATTTGCTGGGTAACTGCTCATTTCTGGAAGAAGTAATGCATCATCATGAAGTATGGTCCATACAAAAAACATGAGATGTGGCAGTGTGGGAACAGGAGGGCCCTTGTCTTCTAAGCAGTCGGGGCAAACAGGGTCCATTTTCCTGTGTGGCCTGGGAACAGATGTCTCATATGGATGTTAAGTTCAATAAAATTACAGAATGCATTGTTTCTTAATAAATGACCCACAGTCTTGGCTGCCCCCTCATTGTCTCATGACTGGTTTACAGCAAAAAAGATTGGAACTTCTTTGCTTTGGGGTGTCATTCCTACTTGGGCAGCTAATGCCTGAGATGTTCTTGCTTCTAGAAGCAGAGACTTCTTGGGTAAGAGATAAATGCCTGGTGTTTTAGATAAGTTATTGGATACTGGCATATTTCATGGGTGGTGACAGGAATTTGTTAAAACTTCTTTCTTAAAGCACATAGAAAAGTAGCTGTTTGGCCTCATCACTGCTGTGTATCTGGCTGAGATACAGCTTTCTCTTCTGTGGCAGGAATGAAGGGGCCCCCTCCTTACAGGCACATCCGATTCAGCCATCAGCATTGGAGTGGAAGGAAACCTACACAATGAATCTGGTCAATGGGGAAATGATTGGGGTTAGAAAAATGTGTACAGGGCACATTTTCTCTTCTGGTTAAAAGAATGGCATGACACATTCTGAGATAAAGTGTTCTGAGCTCCTGGCAAAGCGGAAGGAGGGTTGAATCAGAGGAAATGAACAGATGTGGGTGAACTGCCTGGGTGCAGTTTCACGTTCAGGCAGTTTGATTACTCACAGTGTGTGTCTGAGAAAGATTCCTGTTTGCCCAAGCACCACGGTCAGATGCAAGTACTTGGGAAGGGAGAGGTAGTCCAGGCAAGGAAAACAAAGAGCATTTCTTGCTTGTGAGCATATTGCTGTTGGTAAATAAACCTTTTGCTGGGTTCCAGTAAAGCCGATGCTGTGTGTGACCACCATCTAGCCAGCAATGAATCTCTCTTATAAGCTTTAATGGTCGTGGCATGCGATAAAAAATCTCTTTGCAGTGTCATCCTTGAGAACAGGGTGCTGCTTGCATTCCAAATTACGGTTTCTTTTTAGATTTAGGCAAACCTTGTTGTAGATAGCTTTTGGGCTTAACGTGTCCAAATTGTGTGGTGTTTGCATTTTTATTTCAAGGCCATCAATGAGCATTGATGAGCATCCAGCATCTCCCTGGAAACACCTGTGTTGCTGTGACGATGATCAGCCAGTGAGCCCCATGTCACTTTGCTCTCTGCTGCTCAGATGGGCCCCTGAGGTGCCACGGGCATGTTACCACATCCCAATCCTGCCTGCTTGCTGATGCTTTGTGACTTTGACAGGGTGGTTACACTTTTCTCTTCCTCTCTATTTGTCTCTGTTTCCCAATTTTACCAGATGTGGGT